TTAGCTTGCTTTGAATGCTTTCAGTCATTTCAGATAACACTGCTGCTTTCCTGTCTCCCATGCAGCTCTTGTTTCCAACAGTGTCTGCCTGAAAGTGAAGGAACCATGGCACTGCCAGAGCAAGTTACAGCTCCTCATGACAGGGCCATTTTCTGATCTGTCCGTGCCAACAGCAACTCAGCTGCTGGCAGCAGTCACATGGCAGAGCCCGACAGCTTTTCTGCCCACCAAAGCCACAACCAGATTAAACAGGAGGCAGCAGCTCGGTGCCAAGGGCAGCACAGACTGGGTGCCAAGCAGCAGCACCAGTTTTGCCTGTCACCCCTTTTCTAGCCCCAGAAGAAGAGATCCACCTCCTCCTCCGAAGTCTGAGTCACTGCTTTGGGTAAGGGGCCAGGGCCGTTACTCAGAGGGTGACAGCAGTGTCCCCGGGAGCTGGGATGCCAAGCCAAGTGCCAGAAACCTGAGTCAGAGCATGACTGCTGCAAGTCAGGGCAGCAGAGCTGGTCCTCTGGCCAGCAGCATTTACTAGACAAATATCCAGGCACAGGCTTAAATACAAAAAAAGTAAGTCTGAACTAACCTAGCAGCACAGCCCTAACTCATTACTGTAGGGTCTTTTACAGCCCCTCGGAGCAGAGGCTTAGTACAAGTGAAACTCTTTAACTAGGCTGCCTCGTCTATTCAGAGCCACCAAGCCCAGTCTCATCACAAGAGTCTCATTCTAGTGCAAATCATTTGAATCCTTAATCTCAAGCATTTGCATTCCAGCGAGTCTCAAACAAACAGCCACACATGCTCCTCAGCAGCAGCCCGGAGGTCAGGCGTGTGCAGGGCTTGTCCCCTCGGTTTTGTAGTGCTCCAACTGCACCAGCTTCTCGTTTGAGGCTGCAAAAGCAGCACAGCCCGGCTGTTGTTACAGGGCATAAAGGAACAGGATGTACTGAGCAGAGGGGGAGAATGCAGCTGCAAGACCTAACAGCAGGCTCAAGAGGATAAATGTGAACTCAAGAGCTAGGAAGTGTTTTGAAGGATGGATGCTGAGTTTAGTCTGGCCAAACTGATAGCTGGGGAGCTCTGCAGGATCACAGAGCCACGATAACTTCATCAAGTAATCTTACAAGTCAACCCAAGTAATTTACATGGCAGACTGTGGAACCACAGCTACCACGCCACCCTTACAGGTACAGATACTATCACTAATCAAAAAAAAAAAAAAAGCTTTAAACCTAAGTCCATCAATCCATCCATTTGAGGAAAAACAACTTACACACAAAATACAACACAGCCTAGTGGTAACTTACAGTCAAGGGCATTCAAGCAGACAGGATATTTCTAAGAGAGCATTTACCAGCACCAGGAGTCAAAAGGGAAGGAAAAGTAGCTGTGCTGAAGCCTGCATGCTGAGCAGCAAGCCAGTGTGCCCCAGTCCCCCATCATCAATTGGAAAGTCAGGTTAGCAGCTTCCAGCTTGTGGTGGAAGTGGGACATGCACATTTTGAAAAGGCAGTATGACATTACAGGAGAATCATGGCAAGGTCACATTAGGCTCTAGTTCAGGCATTTAAGAGCAAATGGCCTCCCCAAGCCATTCAAACAGCTCAAGGCAATAGTACAGCCATTAACAGAGGCTTGGAAGGGAAGGAAGAGGGGAAGACACATAGGAAAAGCATGTTCCCTGTTGCTGGACTGAAGCAGGCCTTTGCAGGATCTCAAAGTGCTGACACCCTGGGAGAGAGCAGCCAGAGGGGTAGGAAAGAGAGCAATCAGGTTGGCTAACAGCCTTTACTTCCCAGGGTGAATGAGCCTCTGGTATCACAACTCTGAGAAGTACCAAGTCCAGCCCCAATTCGCCTCTTGTGTAAGATATGCGGGAAAGCTCTGCAGCACAGGAAAGCACTCTCCAGCATGGGAGCTGGCAGCACTTGGGACAGATGAGAGCTGGGCAGCAGTGCTGTTTCCCTGCCTGTGCCCCAAGTGCTGCAGGGTGCCTGTTCCTACCCATGGGAATCTCCACATCCAAGGTGCTCAGCTGTGGAGGGACTGAGCAGCCTGCATGGTCCCACCCCACCCCAGGGGCTACACATGCAGGTCAAGAAAGTACAAGGTGCTAAAGGAGTTGTTTTTTTCCTACACATTACAGTCATTTCATCCCAACAACTATAGGTTTGACTTCCAGAAGGCAGGAGCTCCTTCCCCTTAATGGCTAAGGGACATTGCTTCAGACACTGTCATTTTGCTGCTCTGTGTTTTAGGAGACTGAAGCAAAGCAGATATTTGCTCCAAATGTGAACATGACAAGTAAAGGTAAAACAAAGTAAAACATGCAGATAGCAATGTCTTGATTTGATTGGGAGGGACAGATGAGAAACTGGGCAAAGAGCAGAAAGAACAGGCCTCGGGGATCAATGGCAGCAGGACAAGCCAAACCGGTTTTAACATTAATAATGCTGCACTACTTTCCAAACACAGCTATCATCAACAAGACACCAGCTTTGCCAATCAGGAGGCCTCTGAGCATGATTGCTTTAAACCAGCAAACAGAGCCCACAGACAGCACGAAGCCTCCCCCACCTCTCCCTAAGCAGTCCTCTGCCAGCAGCTTCTGGGTTGGATTTGTGTTCCTCTGTACTGCTGAGGACACACAAACACGATGTGGTGCTGCACGAAGACTTTTTCTGCAGAGTTCAAGGCACAAAAGCAGGACAAGCCTGCAGCCCACTAGCACTGCTATAGCCCTGCTGGGCTCTGGGCACTCGGCCCTTCTGCAGCCCAGACAGACTGAGCAGAGCCCAAGTCTGCAGCACAGGGAACACCCTCACCACGGGGGAATACCCCCTGCTTCCCTCCCGTGCTGCCAGGGGCACTGCTGGAGGCTAAACGCACAGGGAAAGCTCAGCCACTCTGCCCAAGCAAGGCAGACCTCACGTCCTTTGTTAACTCCACCGATCCCACATCTTGGATGCATTGGCGGCTTTCTGTCCATCCCCCCAAGTATCTTCTGCAGGAAGCCCATTCTGGCACAGCACAGAGGGGAGCATCCTGCCCACACATGCTCTGCTTTCCAAGGCACTCAAGCGGAGAGGGCTGGGGACCACCTGGTGACACCAGGCACCAGCTCCAGCCCCCGGCCCCTGGGGAAGAAGGGAAGAAGGCAATGTTCTCACACAAAGCTGCGGGGCTGTTGTAACACAACCCACCCACCCACAGCCGGAGCTCCAACGTCACACTGAGGCACTTCAGTAACATTCCCCACCCTCTTACACATCCAGGATTGCTTCACACGGAGAAATCCCATTTACACCAGAAAGCTGCTCAAGGGGAAAAGAGCCAAGGCACTTTTGTTTGTACAGGCTTGGGGAAATATTCGAGCACCAAAGCACTCTCAACATCCATGCTCTTACATAAGCACAAGAAATACAATCCCCATCTTGTTAAGAAACAGCTACCTGTCTTCACCCTGCCCGCACAGAAAAACCAAGAGCCACATGCTGTGCAGCCCTGCACGTTTTGGCAGTGCTATTTAAAAAAAAAAAAATATATGGGAGGAGTGCCAGCAGAACTCTCCCAAACCGTGTGTCATCCTTGTCTCCTCCCCTGTAACCCAAACAATTTGTTTGGATTAGGCTTTATAGTTGGCCAGTATTACTTCTCAAGTATACACTCAATCTTAGGTAGCTTAAAAGACACGGATAAATATTCCACGTAAGTTCTATATAAGTATTTACAGACCACATCTGTGCAGTTTGTTGTCTTTGCAGAAACCCGATGCTTGCAGACCAGTCCAGTCCCCAAGCACACCAAGATGCATTTCATACCAAACATGGTCAGTGCAACTTCCAGATGCTGTCTGCCCCAAAGGTTTGCCCTACTAGTTTGGGCCAGTTCCCAAACGACCGATTCACGTGCTTAATGGCAGAGATAAACACACCAGATTAGAGTAAAGTGGATTTGGGCTGCTTGGCTTTAGAGTAGCTGACAATTACTACAGATGCTCTCTGTGGGAGATTCCTGCTCCACAATCAGCAACCCCCCTCAGCCCTGTGTCCCTACTAGAAAGCAGCAGAGCCTTATCAGTTCTGATCGGCCCACCCAGCCTTCAGTCCAAAACAAACCAATGTGGATGATTAAACCCACTTTGGGAATCCCTGATCTCCTGCAGTTACCTTAATCTCAGCAGCTCTTTCACACTAACGGAGGAATCTGCCCTGATTGCACTATCAGCAAGATGGTCACACAGAAAAACAAACAAACAGCAGGGAAGCCAGAATCCCCAGACCTCTGCCTCACCACGAAGACCCCACATGTGCCAGCTTGAAGAACATCCAAATGTCTCAATTCATTGTATGTTTAAGAGCTTTTTAAACCCTCCACGGTAATGCATCCCTTTTCAGTCCCATGTGGACGCGAGGGAGGTTTGATAGACACAGAAAGACACCAGGTACCAGCACAACCAAACTCGGGCAAGGCTGGAAAGCCTACCCAGGTACTGTAACGCCTCCAACCCACCCCACACGCACAAGAAAAAAATAATTAAAGGACTTTCACGACAAGAAGTTGAAGATTAAAACTGTAGTGGAGAGCAGCTCGTATCCACCAGGTAGCCGGGTCCCGGCAGCGCTGTGAGCCCTGAGCATGGCAGAGCGGGATACGTGAGGAGCGGCACAGCCGCGGGGACACGGGGCACCGGGCACGGCCGGGCCGGCGCGACGCTGCCTTGGCATCGGCCGGAGGAAGCAGCGTCCGGGCCAAGGGAACCGGAGGAAGAACGGGAACGGCCCTATGGCCGCCTGCCCACTTCGCCCACCCTTCCCTTTCCCCGGAGAAGGCGATCAGCGGGGGCAGACCGCCCGGGGGGCAGCGGTGGCGCCGGCTCTGGGGCTGCTAGCGAGCGGGGCCCGAGACCCGCAGGTCACCCAGCCCCCGGGCATCGGGTGCCCTTCGCAGCCGGGGCAGACCCTCCCCTTTCCCCCTGCCCCGCGGGGCCCGGCGGCACTCACCGACTCGGCGGCGGCGGCTCGCAGGAGGAGGCCGAGCAGCAGCGCGGCGCGCAGGGGGACGCGGGGCAGCGGCATGGCTGGGCTGTGCCGGGACACACGGAGCGACGAGCGGCGGGTCCGACCGGAGCGGGCTCTGGCCGTGCCCTGCCGCCGCCACCGCCCTTATAGGGCCGGCTGAGCGCACGGGGCGGAGCCGCTGCCCCCGCCCCGCCTCGCCGGGAATGCCCCGGAGCCAGCAGCGGCGGTGCGAACTGCCCCCGCCGATACCGGGGGTACGAGCTGTCCCCCACGGACACCGGGGGACACTGATGGTCCAGCCACGGCGGGGGGACACGGAGGAACCCGGACCCGCAACCCGCTGGGCATGGCCGGGACTCCCGCACTGCCGGCTGCCACCGTCACTGCGTTATGGGGAGAAATGAGAAAGGGAAAGGGGAGAAAGGGAGAGGAAAAGGGACGGAAGGGGGGGAAAGGTAGGGAGAAAGAGGTCAGGAGAAAACGAAAGGAGGAAAAAGATGGGAAAGGGGAGGGAGAAGTGAAAATGGGGAGGGAAAGCGAAAGGGGGGGAAGAAGTGAAAACGGAGGGGAAAGGAAAAAAGGGAAGGGAAAGCGGGGGTAAGAAAGAGAAAAAGAGAAAGTGGGGGGAGCGGGCACCCAGCATCCGCTTTTGCAGCATTCCACAAGTGACGGTGTCACATTTACAGAAAACCCTGTCCCTGGCAGCGTGTCGCCGCCGCGGTCATCCGGCGGCTGTTGCATCACTCGGGGATGGAACACGAAACCGCTCCCTCATTCTTCTAAGTAAGCGGCAAGAGCAAAAACCCACACTGATAAAGAAGGCGGAAAAACCCAGCAGCACAGTTTAACTATTTCCGTTTCTCTTCTCACATTAGTAAATTTTCCTGACCATAAGAATTTGATTGGCAGTATCTACTTCGGCCCCTTAACCCGAGGGGCACCTGAAACAGCATAACACTACAGCCCTATGATCATGCTGCAACCACATCAACTTTTCACTTGGGTTTCCAGCAGGTTTTCTCTAGTTTGTAGAGAATAAAATATTTTCTTAACAGGGAAGCAATGCATAGCATAGCATATGTGCCATGATCCCACCTGCCAGGTATGCATGCCAGCTCCTCTCTGGTCTGGTTCTCAGCCTCCTCCAGCACTAAAACACTACCTGGGAGAACTTGTAGCCTTCTCCCTGTCCCACCTCCAACCAAAAAGATCCCTAAGGTGAAGCAGCTTTTCCAACTGCCTGTTCTTTGGGAATAAACAGCTGCAGAGGGTGTGAGCTGAGATCCAGACGTGTCCTCAGTGTTTGCTAGGACTGTGCCTAGGCACATGATCATTGGCAGGAGGGATCCGTGCTGAGCTGGCTGTGGAGCCTGGTAGCGTAATATGAAGAGACAAGGAGCACTGCTCAGGGCTTAAAAAAGTAGCTAAAATCTGAAGACAGCACACATGTGGGTAATGGTAGGAGCCAGCCTGGAACACGCTGTGGGGGAGTTTGCTGACCTGCTCTGCTCAGGACAGCCATGTGTCACTAACCCTTCAGTTCACCTCAGCACCCAAGGCCACGAGGGAGGGATTTGTGCTGGGTTACTACCCTTCCTTATTACCCTCACTTCGTCACAGAGAGGAACTGATAAAAATCACTACTGGTGCAGCCAGGGAGCCCAGCTCCCATAAATGTTCAGCTCTGGACACTCGGCAGAGGAGGGGAGCAGTAGATGGTGAGGAACAAGAGCACACAGATTGGGTCAAATGTGCAAAGAGTGGTCCATACCATGGCATCTGCCAGACAGGAGACAGCCTCAGCAGCACAAGGTGGCCAGAAGTACTCCATGCCCCTGAACCCTCTAAATGCCACCTGTATTTGTGTGCATGTGGCCATGACCTCTCTACACGTCCTTCCAGGTAATGCAGCCACCACAAAGAAGCTTTCAAAACCAGCTTTCTGTATTGTGGCTACAAATACTGCTCACTCACCTGTTAACTTCCTCTCCAAACAAGCACAATATGCCGAGCTCCTGGCAATCATACCCCTCAACACATACCTCTTCCACCAAAAAAAACCCTTGCGTGGCACAGGACAGTGTTTTCCCTCCCAGGGAAGTTCTGCTGTGATAGGATGGAGAGGAGTCAGTCTGCCTGGCCTGGGGACCACACACGTTGTCCATCCATCTCACATCTGCATGCACAATCCTTCATGCAAACTGATCTTGGGCTCCTGGAAACAGAAGAGAAAATTAAACCAAACCCTAATGTACTTTTCAACCTTGAGAACAAATTCGTGTAACTTTACTGATGACATTTTTAAAGTGCATTGTGTAGATCCACCTCCCTTCCTCACACACACAGAAACGTTCTGTGACTGCATCTCAAGAGAATAAGAGGAAATGCAGTCATAAAAATCATATGATTCTAAACTCATGGCCATAAAACAGCTGCCTTCATTTTGCCCTTCAAGTGTTTCCTTTCAAGACGCTGACACTCTCCTCTCTGGAATAATGCAGAAAATCCGTGGGTATGTGACACTCTGAGAGAGCAACAGGACAAATGGGCCCAGAGAGCAAAAATGCACCACTGAAATCTCCTTTCCTGAAACTTCACCACAAGGGAGAGAAGCAGAAGCAAAATAAAATGCATGTTGAGAAACACATTTGTTCTGGGCAATGAATTCTCACATTCCAGGTGTGTCAGTTGCATTCTTAACATAAAAAATACAGTTGGCAGAGAAATAACACAGGCGGGCCACCATTGCTCCTAACATAGTGCTCAACTGTGAAGGATTACCTAACACTCATGTTGAAAATCAAAATAAACAGCTGTCAGTTACCAACACAACACAAACTTGCTGGAAGTGGAATGGAGTGTCCAAATGCAACACATTTGGAGGGTGAAAGGACTTGCACTTTTACATGGCACATCAAGAAATGTCTAGATAATCTTGAGAAGACCATACACAAGGCCCTTTAAACAACTTGATCATAAATTCTGTTGTACTAATCAGGAAGAGATTCTCCAGCCAAGCTCAGCACAGTTCCTACAGGCAAATTTTTAAAAAGAGCTTAGAGCAGGATTCTCAAGCAAAAAGAAACCTTAAGTAGAGTTTTTAAAAATCCCAACTTCCAAAGTCCATTCAGTACACTGAACTCCTTAGAAAAACACGCCTGGACACCATGTGGGTGGAGGAAGAGGAGTGACTAAAAACTCTCATCCCATGGTTTGAGCCACTTAATGTCGAATTATTCTGGAAATGTGTGCTCTTAGCCTTGCTATCCCTTTAGAAAAGGTGACCTTAGCACAACTTCTACCTTCCAGTCAAGAGGGAAATGAACCCCAGCAAAGGTCATTCAGACAGCACCACCCTTTGTACACCAGCTGGTAAAATACAGACCACCTAAATAAACAGCTTCCTGTTTTAGGCAGTGATTCCTGCCTAAAATAAACAGTACCCTCCTAGACAGCTATTTTTTGTGTAAGGAATCTGTGGCTAAATAGGGTATTCTTTTCCTACACTCCTGATAAAGAAGTGACCACAATAGTTTCATGTGATCTGGGTACACCCTCAAGTCATCAGCTGCGTCCTGGGCGTATCACTTCTCCTTCCACCTGCTCTCTTCACAACACGCAGGTGGCACACACTGAACAGTCACTGGTTAAAAAGGACATTCTAACCAGAAGTCAGGCAAGCAGCACCCACTGTGGCACCCTAGAAATCATGGTCTTTGTGTTTCGACATCCTTTTCCTCTTTAACACGCTTCCTCCACAGCTGTCTCCAACTTTTTGTTTAAACAAAAGAGGAAGAAAAGAGAAATTAAGAAGGCTGTTTAATTCCCCAATACTGTTTGTTTTCCAGGTCCACTTTAAACCTTATTACACAGAGCAGGAGTGGGGGGCAAGGCGCCCCATGGGGAGAACACCCTCTTTTCCAGGAGAAGGACACAGTCCCCTATGCTGGAGCAGCCTGGAGAGGAGACAGAGCCAAATCAGGAGCAGGAACAAACAAACATGACCATGAAAGATGCTGTCACAAAGTCAGACAGGAAACAAGTTCACAAACTGGGCTGCTGTTGAGTCACAGCACAAATGTCTTTGTGCCACAACCCTCCCCGTGTCCATATGGGTGCTCTGCCTGTCCAGGGCAGGAGGGAGCCTCAAATCACACCTCGGGCTCCGCTGCTGCTGTGGCTACTCCATACCTTCAGTCACAAGGGCAGGGAGGAGCCTCAAATTCCAAAGCAATTCAAGTCAACACCTCCCAAAACACCGGCTTGTATCGTGTGACAGTGTGGACTTTTGGATAAGTCAGATATTTGGCTGTGGAAAGATACCCAGCAACGATACCTCCCTTACACTAGCTTGGAGTTTCAGTCAGCTTTGAACTGACAAAATTTTTGCTGGCAAAGGAAAGTTAGTCCTATGGGGGACTATAAAAGAAAAAGGTAAGTGAGCATTAATATCTAAGTGATGGCTTGCCTGTCTCTGAGAGCCAAACACAGCAGATTTCAGGAAAGGAAACCAATTTCTACCAACAGAGGAAATGTCAAGGCTCACAATTTATGCTCAGCAACGTGTCGGCAGCAGACAGCACTGACAAGGCTGGGATTTTCCCCTGTTCATTTCTGCACTGGCTGAGGCTGGAGCTTCTGCAAAAATAAATTCTCCAAAGGCCTAAGTGAGAACTCAGCTATAGTGGCCCACGTCCACCAGACATGTGCCTCTGCCTTGCACAATCTTTCCTAGGAGATGGTCCGGGAACAGGGAACAAAATGTGTCAAACCTGGCTCAGCACAGAAATTCACAGAATGAGGAAAGGAAAACATACAGCAGAGCTGCATAGGGAACTTCCCATAAGAGGCATGGAAAAAACGTCATGAGAGCCTGTCAGAGATCATAATCTGTGTTCCCATAGCCAGCATATTCCACACCCACGACTGGTGTGAGCCTACCACCTCCCTCAGAACCTGGATTCCCCTTTTTATTCCTTCTCCTCTCTTCTCTTTTCCAGGTGAAAACACTCGACCGAAACAGCCCGGGGGTGCCTCCTCTCCTTTTTCCAGCAAAGATTTTATCTCCAAAATGCTCCGTTGTCCCACACAACCTTGGGGATTTTGCTATTAAGTCAGTGACAATTCTTATACCTGAAGCCAAGCAAGCAGGATGGCTCACAACAAGCCCCAGCAGCCAGGATCTGATCACAGAAAGGGTACAGTGAGCATGAGGGTGTCTGGCTCCTGGCCATTTCATAAGGCTAAATAGAAGAAATCAGCATGTATCAGAAGAAACCTCCCAAAAGAAGCCAACCCAGCCCTGTAACAGAAAGGTGCTGCCAGGGCACACCAGGACTCAGAACAACATCCCGGTACCCGACAGCCTAGAGCTGAAATGAGCACAGCTGGGCAGCAGCTGCCAGGAGCCTCGGCACCTACAGGAACTGGCCTGGAAATGAAAGGAATTACCGGGGACAATAATTTCTTGTATGGTTGGTATTTGTGTCTTTAGCAAGGGCTGCTCGGCCAAGTTACTGAACACACTGACACCAGTGCAGACGGGCAGGGGCAGCGGCTGGGGAAGCCTCATCTCCAAAATCCTCTGTTGTCCCACAAAACCTCGGGAATGTCACTGTTCACACCGCGACAATTCCCATACGTGAAGCCAAGCAAACACCGCGGCTCGCTGAGGCCACCAGACCGAGCCGATCACAGCGGGGACGGGGAGCACGAGGGACTCTGCCTCTTTCAGCAACTTTTATCCAAGTTACCGAAGGCGCCGACCCGGGGCAGGGGACAGGGCTGGGGACGCCCTTGGCAGGCAGGTGTGGGAGGGCTGGTGCTGGACACCGGGCACACCGGGCACACCGGGCAGCCGGGCCGGAGCTGGGAGTCGGGGGCAGCGAGCGGGGTCGGGATCGAGCGGGATCGGGACGGCGGGCGGGGGTCAGGATGGGGATAAGCGGGGTCGGGATCCAGCGGGGTCAGGATCGGGATCTAGCGGGGTCAGGATCGGGATCGAGCGGGGGTCGGGATCGGGATCGGGATCCAGCGGGGTCAGGATCGGGATCCAGAGGGGTCGGGATCGGGATCCAGCGGGCTCGGAGCCGCGGGCGGGGCTCGGGCCAGCAGCGGGTCCTCCGCCCCGCCAGGAGTCGCTCTGGCGCGGCGGCGGCGGCACTTCCGTCGCGGGCGGCGGGCGGGCGATGGCGGCGCAGTTCCGCAGCTACGTGTGGGACCCCGCGCTGATCGTGGCGCAGATGGTGCTGCTGCAGGCGGGATACTACAGCTCGCTCGGGCTCTGGCTCGCCCTCCTCGGCACCCTGGGCAGCACCGGGCCCTCCCTCCAACAGGTGTTCAGCGACGAGGTGAGGGCGCGGCCCGGGAAGCCGCCGTGGGCACAGGCCCCTGGAGCGGGGGGATTTGCTGGGGCTCTCCTGAGGGAGACAGAGCCCGCTGCCGTGTGGGCATTCCCGGTGGTAGGGACAGCCCCCGCCCTGGGAGCCCCCCGGAGTGCTGCCCCGTGTAGCAGCCCCCCAGTGCTGACCTGCTGTCTTGTGTAGGTGCCCCAGTGTGGAGGTAAAGCCGTCCCTCTGAACAGGTGGTACCCGGGCTAAGACAGCACTTCGGTGCGTGGGGGGAGGACAGTCACCTTGTACAGATGGTGGCCCTGTGGAGAGGGAACACCTCGCTCTGTAGGTGATACCCCCTTATAGAGATACCCTTTATAGGTACTCCCGGTATAAAGACAGCTCCCCTGCCCCTAGGAATAGCCCCACTGTGCACGCACATCCTCCACCCCCAGGTTAGGCGGTTCCCCTCAGCACAGAACCAGACCTTTCCCTTTCCCGTAGGTGCCCCCAGACAGACAGACAGACATGTCCAGCTCCTCCTGTAGATCCTGATCCATGCAGGGCTGTGCCACGGGAGACTCGGGCTGCGATTTGTGCCGCGGGTTCCTACTAATAGTCCCATGTAGATTTTAGGCTTCTCAACCCCGCCGGGGAGGCTCTCCATGATGGCTTTCATCCTCAATGCACTCACCTGGTAAGTCTGCAGCTAGCTGGAGCACCTGCATCTTGTCCTTTCGTACCATTAAGCTGTAAAAGAATTCAGTGTGGTGTACTGCCTCTCTCCAAACATCTCCCAAAATCCCTGTGCCTTCTTAAGCATGTCTGCTGAGGGCAGTGGGGAACTGCTGACTCTTGGGTTTCTAGAACCTGGAAAAGTCTTCACTGCCTCAGTTTCCCAGCTGGGAATGAGATTTGCTTTTGCGGGAGATTTTACTAAAAGTTAGTATTAATGGATCTCAGCAAACACTGATCTATAAACACTAATGTATTAGGAGATAGTCTATAAATTCCTGCCTGTTCTCTGCATTGAAATCTAATTTTCCTGCCATCATGTAATTAAAAAGCTGTAAGCCTGCAAGTCTTGCTGCAGCAGCCAGGAGAGAGGTCAGAAACAACCCATTCTTAAAATATTTGAAGAAGTTTTAAACCCACTGCATAATCAGCACTGACAACTGCTGATAGCTCTTGCTGCAGCACCTTTTCCAAAGGCCTGGTGGAGCTCACTGATCCCTTGCCTTTCCTTTGCAGTGCCCTGGGCTTGCTGTACTTCATCCGCCGAGGGAAGCAGTGCCTGGATTTCACCGTCACCGTTCACTTCTTCCACCTCCTGGGCTGCTGGATCTACAACTCGCGCTTCCCCTCGACGCTGACGTGGTGGCTGGTGCACATCGTGTGCACGGCGCTGATGGCGGCCATCGGGGAGTACCTGTGCATGAGAATAGAGCTCCGGGAGATCCCCCTCAACTCCGCCCCCAAATCCAACGTATAGACAGACTGCCTCTGGCAACCACATGCTGCGTTTGGTCATTGTTCCCAGCACAATGCATCCAATGCCTCAGAATCATCCCTCGAGAAGCACAGCAGGTCTGTTTAGACTTTATGATTTTTTTTTTTTTGGACCTCGGTGACTGCATGAGTGTGAGCGTCTCCTCTGGCATCGGCTGACAGCGGGGGAGGAGCAGATGTTTATTTTGTTAACACAAAGTATTAATATGACTGGATGGAGAGTGTGCCCTAAAACTCTTCGCTCACGAGACTGTTAAAAGCCAGGTAGCAAAACTTGGTGTGTGAGGAGCATTTGGAATTGAACTGTGTGGGAGTGCCCTGAATGGGTAACACAATGGTCAGCTCTTCTTGCTGGAGCTGGCACGGTGAGCAGTGGGGCTGGGAGCTGCTGCTTCCAATCTGTCACTTCTTTGGGCTTTGCCTGGGAAAGAGTCAAGGAAGTGAATGTGAGGAAGTCAAGGAAGTGAGTCAAGGATGGGGAGAAAGAAAATAGTTATACTTACCTGAATCACCAGCTGAGACACTAAATAATAACCTGTAACGTTAGATGGGTTTGTTTGCTGTTTCCATGTTTGATACACAGAGGTGACAGACAGCAGTTTGCTGAAGAAATCTTTTGTAATAATAAAAATATAATGTTGCTGTGAGTGTTATGGCTCTCCTGGGAAGGTGAGCACTTCAAGAAATACCAGAGTGTCTGTATCATGGCAACAGAAGGATGCAGCCAGAGAACACTTGGCTGTGAGGTGCCCACTGTCTGGGGCACATAAAATTTCCTACAATAAACATTTCATACCTCTGCTCTGAAAGGAAGGCATCATTGAGTGCTGTCTTGGGAAGTCAGCTGGCATAACCCCACTTCAGAGGGAGTGTCAGCAGTCCAGGATCTCCACATGTCCAACCTGAGCCTGGAGCTGCCCTGGGGAAACCTGCAAAAGTGTCCTGGAGCCATGATGCTCTCCCCCCTTGGATGGGCTTTCCCATCAGGCTTCAGCGGTCCAGCAACAGGTCTTGCCTGGTAGAGGTGATGTTAAGTAAGAGACTGTTGTTATTTCTTGAATATTTAGAGGTCCTTCAAATAAACTTCACCAGGCAGGTACATTCCCTTACTGCTGAGGGTCCAGAGCTGGGTAATTCCTCCAGATCCAACAGCCCAAGCAAGCAGCCCCACATCCTGCCTGGTTTCCACTGAGGGATGGCCATGTTGTGCAACCCCAAACAAGGGCAAAGCCATGTCTAGAGACAGATTTTTCTCCCATGCAGCATCTTGCTGCAGTAACTTCCCTTTGTATTTTAGTATTGTAAGTTTTAATTTGCATAAATCGTTTGCTAATTCAGTTTGTTGAAAAGTGGTAGGATGATGTGAGACTGATAAACTCTCTGAAGCTGCTCTTTTGAGTTCTGTTACGGGGCAGCTGAGCTGTATTTCAATCCCTGCTCTCCCACTCAGACACTGTAAATGAGGGCAGGATGACATCCTGCTGCTTTACATACTCAGCAGGTCTGCAAAGGAGGATTTCTGTCTAAACAAGTGTAACCTGCACTTTTTAATTTATACTGGGGGATTTCACCAGGAGCCCTTCCTGACCAAAGCCCCTGTAAGCAGAGTTTCAAACAGCAGCAGCCTTTCAGAGGCAAGAGTTTACACAAGTGTTTCTCTGGGCAGGAGCCAGCCTGGAGGCCACCCCGAGGTCACTTCCTAGGGCTGCCCCTGCAGCAAGACAGTCCATCCCTTCCCAAAATCTGCTCATTTTTCACGTACAAGGATACTTGCCTTTCTCCCAGTCACCTCAGCCTGGATACAAACTGGTCTCCAGTAGGTGCCAGTATCTGCCTCAGAAAGGAGCCAGGAGTGTGCTGTGGTTGGGATCAGGGCGGGGAGCAGAGGGCAGTGCTGCCTCGGGGTGACGAGTACTGTCGTGCTCTTAGTCATGTTTTAAGACTCCTGCAGGGTCATTTTATCCTCTGCTGCTTCTTGGTGCTATTCTTGAGAAAGAACATCCCAGTCCTGCAGGGACAGGGAAGGCCTGCAGGTTTACTTCAACGCTTAATACCGCACCAAAGCCTTGTGTGAACTCCTGTGTTCAGGGCTGTTCTTGAGGCAAGCGGGAGCTGAGGATTAATTACAGTGAATTTGAGAGCAAGGAGACAAAGCCACGTTCTTCTGCTCCCAGAGTTGCTGTGGGTCTGTATTAACAGAGCTGCCACCTTTGTTCTCCTGCAAGAACAAAGGTGAAGCCTTTGGACTAAGGAACATTTAACCCATTTCTTTTTGAATACCCAAGATACGCTGTAACAGCTTCAGCGGCTTCCCTGGGGGGGAAATCTGGGGACAGCTTTGTATCTGGAGAAACTCACAGCAAAGCCATGAGAAGAATCCTTGACAAATGGGGCTTTAACACTGAGGGCTGCAGGACATCCCAGAAGCTGCACTGCAGCACCATGAAGTGTGCTGTAGGATCAGAAATCTTTCTGAAAGGCTGCTGACTGCCTAGGAGAAATGAACCTGTGTATTACTTTTTTTTTTTTTTTTTAAGGACTTCTACGTTGTCCTAGTCATAGAGGAAGTTCTGCTAAAAATGAAATACTGATTGAGGAAACTCATCACTCCCATACTGTGAGACCTAGTTTTCTCTCACATGCTTTCAGTCAGATTTCGAAGCACCTTTGGCTTACAAAAAAAAAATCTGCTGCTCCATACCAGAACAGTGGCAGATGGTCTTTGTTTCTTAATGAATCTTTGGGGTTTTTTTTTTGTGTGCAATAGTTGAGGGATTTGCTTCCAGGGAAGATATGTCCCAAGACCTGTTCTTCTCAGAGACAGTGGCAATCATCCATTTGCATCCATAGTTTTGCAAAAAGATTTCTTGCCAATCTGATTCTTTTACCTTCCCTTTCCCCAAAGCTGCTTCAATGCAGAAAATTTTAAGAGAGGAATTGCCAAATTCAAAGAGAAGGCAAGGGTTGTGGGATTTTATGGGGCTGTGCTTACTTCTTTTCCAAATGGCATTAAACAGTTGTTCTAAACAAAGAACGGGTGCAGGATTCAGAGCCAAAATACTCCAGTCTTGGTTTTGTACATGACTCTCCCCTGCTTCAGCTTTCTCTAGCCACTAAAGTTAACAGGGGAGGGGGGAACAGGATCAAAGGAAAAACAGTGTTGTTGGTGTGGAGTACAAAGAAAGAAATGAAGCTGAATCTGAGTGGTTCACTCCAGGTTTTACCATGCTCTGATTTACCTTTCTCCACTGCTCACCCTAAGGCTTTGTGCCCCAGATGCTGAGTACTGAATACATAAGTAACAACTTGTGCACTGAAGTGCTGTCTGAACACCAGCTGCTCTGCCCTGCCTTATTTCTTGGAATTTGCTCCAATTTCTTCATTATCTCCTGCTGCTGCTGCAGGAGCAGAGGGTTGAGGGATAGTGAAGGTAAGAGGAAGAACACGTGAATGCCAGAGGAAAGCTGCATGACTCAACACCAGTGTTAGGACTAAGATCCTTTGCTCTAGAAGCTTGCCCAGTGCCTGGAATGCTTCTGGTGGGATCTGTGGGGTTAGCAGGGCCCTGGTTTCCCTGCTCACACTGAGCACACACCCCATGGCCCTGTGCAGCCAGGCAGGGCACAGAGATCCATCAGCAAGCATGAAACACAGACTGCCTTGGGCTAACCAGTAATGTTGTGTTTCTCCAACGTACTCAGAAACCACTTGCAAAGCCTCTCTGTTCCAAATACTTCCATGCTTGTACTGAAGCTGCAAAACTGACAAGACTGAGCCACAAAGGAGACAAGAGGAGACTGTGCTGTCGAGCAAGAGTCAGGACAAATAACTTCTGCCATGCTGTTGGCTCTACAACAAGCTTTAATACTCTGGAATTACACACTTCTACCCACAGCTGCTTACAGGTACTTTGGGGAAAGCTTTAAAGCAGAAGAGTTGCTATAAATCCCTTTTGTCCTCCTAGCTTGATACTCCCTCTCCCCCCAAATATTTTTCACCTCTGTCCATAGAAAAGGGATTTACACATAACACAGCAGTTAGTCAGGAATTCAGATGTGTGCAAGAGAAGTCATGCAACTGTGATTATTGTTCAGCAGGGGTTTTAACACGTCCTCAAAGAAGAAAGGCCAGTACAGGGTAGTAAGGTCTCCCTTCAGCCTGTGACAGGACAGACACCATCCCCTGCACCTCATGGAGGGGTGGGAAGAACACCCATCTTGTTTTGAGTGTCCAAATCAAAACCCTGGAGAGTTGATCTGGTGGAAAGAGTCAGCAAAGTAAACAGGTTTCCTTCCAGTTGCCATAAAAGAGTGCAGAAGTATCCAGCATTCATAATTTTCCAGAATTTATCATTTCTCCCCAAATCCTGTGCCCTGTATTTACAAGTTCCCAAATCTCCCGACAGCCAGATCTGTGCCTGTGCCTTGAGGCAGAAGGGGGAGAGGAGTTACTCCAAATTACAGAGACATTTCAACACCCTGGAGATGCTGCCAAGCTCTTCCATGTCTCACAGGCGCAGGATGGAGCCGGGAGTTTCTGAGCTCCACACAGTGTATTCCTCAAAGGTTTGGAAAATAGATCTGAAAGATGCCACGCCACACACTGCCACCACTTTTGTTGGGATACTCACAGAGCTGCAGTTTATAAGTTCAGCCAAGTGACGATGAGGGGGATGCTGAGGATGGAAATGTTGGGAACGTGGGTCCAGGCAGAGCTTTGGGCCATGCTGGGGCTGCAGAGGTCAAACAAACTGCCTTGAAATTTGTTTTTTCGGGACTCCCTTCTCAGCATCTCCCAGACAGCTGCTGCTTCCTTCTGGCAGTCCCAGAGCACTGTCAGGGCACAGGTGTGGAATTCATCCCAATACCTGCAGCCAGGGAGACACCACACTGTCAGTCCCTTTGCACTCCCACAGTGTGGGATGCCAGGGAGAGCCTTGCTGCCCTGAGCCTGCCCCCTGAGCAGCAACAGCCTCGTGTTTTGTGCAAGTTTCCCAGACTATTCATCCCCTCCATCATCTGCCAGAGCATCTTGGCTAAACTTCCAAATCTCAAAACACTGAAATTATTTATTCCTCTCCCCCCCTCCCCCTTTTCTCTGGAAGTCAATAAAATCCATTATTTGCCATCAGCAAATGTTTCCCTGAGTATCTCACACAGGCTGCAAACAAAGGCCCAGCACATCTCATTCATCACTTTCTCCAAGCAGAGTCAAGGGCACATGGGAGCACAAAGCATGGAGAAGGACAAGAGCTCCCACAGGCTGTCTCAGCTTTTCCTGAGGTACGGGCAGGGGCAGGAGGAGTTATTCACTGTGTTCTCATTAGAATAAACTCCATTTATCTGCTGGGTATTACTTTCACAAGTAGAAGCTGTTGAGTGGAAAGAGGGTTTTGGAGACTACCAGAGGGAAAAGATAAAACAGGCAAAGATAACCCATGGTCCTGCAGGAATAAAGCAGGAGCTGCTCTGCTGTCCTGTCCCACATGGGCTGGGCTGGGCACCACGCCCAGCTCCCTGCAAGAGGGAGACAAGAGTCTAGAGGACAGGAGCAATTGCTCTGACACCTTCTCTGTCTCTGCCAACACACCGGGCACACATGTCACCTGTCAGGAAGGGGATGCAGTCCAGCTGGCTGAGAGGGGACACTGTGCACCTGTAAAGGACAGCATGGTGCTGTCTGAGTGCACTGTGCTGGAGATGACACTTTGTGCAGACAGACAAACCTGAGCACTCTGCTTGCTTAGACCCGGGGCTTACGTCAGAACGCCAGCTGTGAGGGAGTTCATTAAACAGAGTCACTGTGGCAGAATAAACGTCCCCAGATAATGAGAAAAGCTGGTGCCAACCCTGGCAACCTCCAGCACTCGCTCCCGACCTGCCGCAGTAGCAGGCAGCTCTGACAGGTAAGAGTTAAACCTGACCCATGTCTTCAGGCAACACAAGCTCAGGAAGGTGAAGGGGAACAGCAGCTCTGGCCTGGATCTGCTTTCAGCTGGGAGGGCAATTCCCAGCCTTTCACCCTTCACAGCCCCCATCTGCTCAGGCAGGCAGGCTGCTGGCAAGTGCCTTGCCAGGCCGGCTCTGGGGCAGCACTGCACATGAGCTGAGACACCACCAGCCCCCCAAACAGCTCCTGGCTCCCTGTCCATCCCTCACCCACCCTCCTGGAGAGGGGACCAGCTCCAGAAATGTTTTCAAACAGCCATGGATAAGGCTGAGCATCAAAGGTAAATAATTCAGAAATATTTCCTGGCAGGAAGCTGGGACATCATCAGCTTCCTGCCAGGGAAGATCCCAGGACCTGTTTGGGGATGGTCTGTGCCTCTGAGCTGCAGGAAAAACTCAGCTCACATGTTTCACATGAGCTTCAGCAAAGGAATCGCTCTTCCAGCAGCCAGCAGCAGCATGGGCTGGGCTGGGCTGACTGCTTCGGTGTTTTCTAATACCAAGAAGCCTCTTTTAATAAAACGCCAAGCAAACCAAAAAGTATCGATTCTATCCAAACCAGAGCAGTTCCCATTGGAACCCACACAGGCAGGCCCCAGAGAGGCTCTTCATCCCGATCCAGGCTGTCTCCTGGAGAAGGGGGAATACAGAGCAGGTCACAGCCTGCAGGGTGGTTTCCCGCAGCTCAGAAAGCACGACCCCAGGGCACTCAGCCCTCCACCTTGCTCTGCCAGGTTTCCACCGCCCCCAGGCACGTGGGTTTTCCCTTCATTGCTACCTGCATTTCCTGGTAACTCCTGTTTACTCCCCACAGCTCGCTCTGAAGATGCAAAGCTGCCTCCATTTATCTCTGTGAACATTTTACATCCGCCTTGCTGCTTCTCCTCATCTGCTTTTTAATCGAACTTTTCCCCAAACCTGCCCAACACCACCCCTCACTGCCCAGCTCTTCTTCAGTTCTGTTAAAGTTAACATCCTCCCAATATCTCAGGGCACCGCTACAAACTCGGGCAAACCAGGGCTGGGACAAATCCAAGCCTGAAGGATGAAGGGTTTAGGCAGGGAGGGAGAAAGCTTTTTTTGGGCTGCACGTGGTGGCCGGTGCAGGCTGCTCCCGGCAGCGCTGGGCACCGGGGCAGAGCACTGCCTGAAACCTGGGGTCCAGGGGAGATTTTCCGGGGGTGCAGAGCGGGTCGGGTCCCTCCAGCCCTGCTCCTCCTGGCTGCAGGCATGCAGGGACTGATGGGACCAGTGCTGGGGGCTGCAGCTGCTGCCAAGGACCAGGGATACAAACTCCTGTGGGAGACAGATAGGAGATGGATGGACAGACGGACAGAGAAAAGAAGCTCGCTGGGTCAATCTGAAACCGGAGTGAGGTGTGGAGCACATGTATGTGTGCAGGCACGACGGGACTCGAGAGGGCAGGAGACCAGACAGGGACAATGCCAGAAGCCAAGCTGGCCGTGCACCGGACTCACCTGCAGACCCGGCGCAGCCCCTGCAGCTCGATGCCCTCCTCCTCCTCGTACGTGGCCATGCTGTCCCCCAGCTTGAGGACGCAGTCCGAGAGGCCGCGGTAAGCGTCGGCGCAGGCGGGTCCCGCTGCCAGCAGCCCGGCCAGGTGCCCTGCCAGCACCGGGGGGCGAAGTGAGCACCGGCACCTCTGGGGACAGAGCCCACCCCCGCCCCGGGGTGCCCCGGCTGGGCGAGCGGCCCCTTCTATGCGGGACAGCCTCGAGCCCCCGCCGCCCCCCGGCTGTGCCCGGCGTCGTCGGGGTCTGCTCAGAGCCCGGTGGACACGGGGGGACCCCGAGCCCAGTCGGCCCGGGCTGCCATCCCGACACCGGCACCCGCGGCGGGGGACAGCGACCGGGGGGAGGACGGCCCGCGGGAGCCGCCGGGGGGAGCCGCACGGACGAAGGGAGAGAGGGAGGGAAGAAGGGGACACATCGCCGCATCACTCCCTCCCCCCGGACACCGCCCGGTCCCCCCGCCCCGACCCCCGCCCGGACATCCCCTCACCCAGGGCGAGGAGCAGCACGGCCGGGCCCCGCCGCTGCCCCATCCCTCCGCCGGGCTCGGCTCCAGCCCCGCTCCGCTGCCAGTGCCGGTGCCCGCACCACCGGGGCCGGCAGCGCTCCCCTCCCTCCCGCCTCCGCGGGGAGGGCACCCGTCCCCAGTCGCCGCTAATGAGCGGCTTCGGCCGCGGCTAATTAAGGAGGGGGCTGGGCCGAGGCTGTCGAGCGTCCAGGGGCACCTCCGGCCCCTCACCCCGCAGCCCCGGGATCCCGCAGCCCTGCACCTCCCTGCATCGCATCTCGCAGGGACTCTCTGCCAGCGCCCACCGCTGCCCACACTCTGCATCCACCTCCAGGAACCAGCGCCCACGGGGCCCCGGTACCAGCATCCTCACCCCAAAGGCCCCCACCCCCTGCCCACCGCAGCCTCTGCTGCCCACTCCAGCTGTGACACCAGTGGGGGACATGGGACAGTGCCCGCTGCCAGCAGCAGGATTCCAGGCAGGGCGAGGATCTCTTTGCCCTTTTTGAGTCTCTTGAACAGCACAGGAGAACACGATGAAGGGTGGGAAGCAAAACTCAGAGTGTTTGAAGGGTCAAAGGACTAAACATCAGCACCTACAGCTCCAAACCTTCTGCCCAGACCCTGGCTCAGCAATTCCCCAGGCTGCATGATCTTTGTGGCATCAATTGGGATTTTGCATGTCTGTGGCTTGATCCCAGCTCTTGCCCCAGGAATCCCTTTGGCTCCAGCAGGAAGGGGAACAGAAAGTTTCTGGCCTGCTTTGGTGGCATTGCTGTGGAGGCTGGTGATGTCAGACCCTTCTCTCTGCTGGTGACAGCTTTGCTCTTGGGGACACTGCTTTGCACCAGCCCATGAACATGATTAGGACCCTCATAAGTGGGACCCCTCTGTGCACAGGTACCCTCACCCCCGCGGCAGCTGGGCCTCCACCTCCAGCGCCAGGAACCTGGAGCAGTTGGAAATCACAACTCTGCAAACTGCAGGTACCCAAATCTAATGCAAAAAGAGCTGGGATGTGAAAACCAAAGACTATTTCTTTGCAAAAGATCAACAAAAACAACTAACTACAACATTTATTTACAGATGAGTGCCATGTGCTGCATCTTCATCAGCCCTGGAAGTAAATCAAGCAGCATGTTCATTTCAGTTAGGCACATTCCATTTGCCACCAGCCTGGGACACGCAAGGGAGAGCCTGGCCCAGAGATGCCACCACATGCCCACAGCTACCTGCAGGGACAAGCCAGCCCCAAGGGCTGTTCCCAAGAATCTGCACAATGCCCCAGGACACACAGGGCTGCTCCATGGCACCGAGAGCAAAGTCTGTGCAGAATAGCTCAGCTGCCTGAAAGAAGTGGGATATGTTGAAGAGGAAATTCCTCTGGGACAGGCACCCTCTTCCAGCTCTGCCTGCTCCTTTGGCCGAGGCTGGTGTCCTGCTGCCTGCACAGCACCTCTCAGCCCTACCTGCTCTCGTGCCAGCAGCTGGCAAGCAGGAATGTCTGTATGGCATGGGGCCCGAGGACGTGGGGACATGACACCCCCGGGGCTTGGCAGGAGCCTCTCCCAGCACCACACAGTGACTGTTAGCACTGCGACAGGAGGTCTTCCCTCGGGACAGGGCATGGCCAAGGAACTAGCTGGTTCCAGGCACAGAGTGCTGGTGCAAACCCCATCCAGGCCCCCCCACCTCGCCTCGCCTGCGGAGATTCTCGTTTCTCGGCAGCCACATTCCTTTGAGGGTGTTTATGGCTTTTCTGTCTCCCCGCTGTCCCAGGCTAAAATCGCCCCTTTTAAGGGAGCCGCAGGACCACGGGTTGCTGGAGCTTTGCCGGCTGCAGGCTGCTCCCTTGCAATGTGTCTCCTCATTTACTGGAAAAGCAGCCTTGCCTTGCCTTGTTTTTTTTCTTGACTCCACAATTTTCTGATGGAATCAAGCTGCAGTTCACTCCCAGCCCCATCCACGCATGCCTCCCAGAGAATAAATCCATTTTCACCGGCAAGTGATTCACCTGTGCCTGGAACTGGTTTGTCTTTTCCTGAGCTGCCGATTCCTCCCCAGCTCCATCCTCACCCCGCAGCTCCCTGACTCACCTCCCAAACCTCTAATAAACGGGAAAAACCTGAGCAGGAAGGGCAGGAGGAACAAGTCACCTTACATTTTCTCACAATGACGGGCACTTTGATGCTGCCCCCCCTGGGGTCTTTTGGCAGGAGCTGGACTCCGTGTCGTGGGGAGAAGAGGTGACATTCCGACCTGGGCTCGTGACCCGGGCATTTGCGGTAAGGGCGGGGGCTGTTGACACCAGACAGTGCTGAGAGCCTGCACGGGAGGAACAAGGGAGGCAGGGATGCTGCGGCAGCCGAGACAGACCCTGCAGGTTTCTGGCAAGATATTCTTAGGGCTCCGTACCAGAAGTGGAGACTCTCCACTGAGTCCAGCGTCACTTCTGTCCCTCTCATCTTTTGGCCCGGGGCAGGCACGCTTTGCTAGGAGTAAAAAAAAAAAAATTAAAAAAAAAAAAAAATCATTATGTAGAGCTGGCTTGCCTGCAATGGTTTAATTGGAATAAAATGTGTGCCCCGCTGAGCGGCACGGCTTGTGCTGAAGAGCCAGGATGAGTCAGGCTCGGTGCCGATGATATCAGTGCTTTTCCAACGCCCTCCCGGCAAGGCAGGATGAAGGGGCCACGACAGCGAGGGATCTGGGAACGTGTCACTCTGCACGGGCAGCACCCATGTGTGCTGTCCCCGCAGCGGGATTCGGGATGCACTGAGCTCTGGGGACCTCGGGGTGCTCCGGAAACTCGTGTGCGCACAAACAGCCTCCACGCCTCGCAGCAGTGCCTGCTGCCAAAAGACACAGACGTGTCACATAGCAGAGACCTGAGCTAATTCCCCGGCCCTGCCTCCTCGCCCCTCCCTGGCAGGGCCGGCCAGGGGGGCAGTCGGGACGGTGCCGACAGGCTGGTGCTGCCCGGAGGCCACACCGAGCTGTGAAGAAGCCAGAGCCGGCAGGTACCCAGCAGAGATTTGGTCATGCAGCTGCTCAGAGACCATAACCCCCACCCGTGCTACACCAGCCCGGTCCCCCCAAACCGCAGTGCTGGCACCCCGCACTATGGGCAAACATCAGGCAGGAAGGACTGGGAGTGCTTATGGACAGGGATAAAACATTTACGTGGACAAAATTCAAAACCACCGTGAAAGCTGAAGCCAGCCGCGGGGCGCAGGCTCCGGGTACCCAGCACAAAGCCGGTTTTCGGCAGCAGGAGGTCCCAGGGGACATAGGGGGGACAGCAAAGCAACAGTAGCCAAAATAGAGCTGGGACACAAACAATACCCAGTTATCTTTTGTTATGCAGACAGCGAGAGGAACACACTGAGAACGGGACAGGCGGGACACGCCACAGACACTGGAAACTCCCTTCCAGTCACAGCAAAAGTCACAGTGGATGTCCCCCACTCCGGCTTGGCACTGACCAGGCTCCGGGCAGAGCTGGCGCTGGGCACGGCGAGGCACTGACTCACCCTGCTGAGACACAGGAAGGAGGCGGCGGCCAAGTCCTTGGCCCTGCCAAGGAGCAGCCCCGATGTGCAGGGCTGAACGTGGGAGAAAGCACCCAGAGTGGGGTCTGCCGGGGATAAGGGTCTCACGAGGCCAGGAGTGAGATGGGGAGGGCCCATCAATACATGGTGCTGTCCTCTCTCCCGCGGGAATGCGTGAGCTGAGCATTTTGAGAAGGAAAGAAAAAGCAAGAATGAATGGTAACTGCTCTCCGTGCCCAGGCAGAGCCCCTGCCTCCCCCCGCCTCCCCCTGCCCACCTCCTGCCACGCGGGGCACAGCTCCTGCCGGAGCAGGGCACCTGCAGCCCACCACCGCGGGCACTGATCTCTGCCTGGGCGGCTGTGGGGGGGAGGGACCCTCTGCAGGGACCCACTCGGGACGGGGGACCCTGCATGGGGACACTCCGTAGGTCCCGGCAACGCAGATAACCGGGTACCGCGCACGGAGACCCTGCTCTCCGTGGGGACCCTTCACGGGGACCTTCTGATTCTCCCTGTGCACGGGAGACCCCATCCCCGCCGCAGGACTCCCGGCGGCCCCGGGCTGCGGGTCCCCGGCGGGCGGGGGCGCGGTGCCGCGGTGATGGGCGCGCCGGTACCGCCCCGTGCCGCGCCGAGCGCCGCCCCGCAGCGCGCCTTGGGAGAGCGGCGGCGGCGGGGGGGCCCGCACTGATCCCCGTCCCCCGCCCGGCCCGGCCCGGCCCGGCCCGGCCCGGTCGCAGCAGCCGCATGTCGGGGCCCGGGGCGCAGAGCCGCAGCCGGCGGCTGCCCGGTAAGTGCCGGCCGCGGGGTGGGCTCGGCGGGATGGGAGCGGGGCACCGCACCGGGCGGGCGGGCAGGGCTCGGGTGCCACATCCCCTCCATCCTCCCCGCAGCGCCCACCTGATGCCCCTGGCAAAGCGGCTGTGCCCCACCTGCCGCCCCCGGAGCCTCCAGCCCCGGCCGCCCCCGAGCCCCTCGCTGCACCAACCTGCTGCCGGCCCCGGGGCTGCCCGCGGAGCTCCGTGCCTGGGACGGGGATGCTCGGGGAGCGGGGGGATTTGAGGGACACCTGCTTGGCAAGTGGCAGAGCTAGGAAACCTGTTGGGTCGCGGGTTTGTTTTGGAGCGGCATCGGCAGCCCTCGGAGCGCCGTGGCTGCCGGAAGGAGCGGATCCCCCCGTGCCCGCAGGGCTGAGGATGCTGGGCAGAGCAAACTCAGTGGCGAGCGGCGGGGCGAGCGGCAGCCGGAGCAGCGGGGCTTGTAGAGGAGCAGCCTGCCAGGCACCGTGCCCGGGTTGTGCCTGCCGTGCCTCGGGCACCGCGCTGCTCCGTTCTCATGCTTCTCCTCGCATGAAAGGAAGCAGGGCCCCGCAAATAGCAGGGTCTTATGACACAGCCTCTGCCGGGGAAGAGCTCCGGGCGGCAGGGAAGGATATTTTTAGTGCTGAGACGCAGGGGATTTGGAGATCGCTCGGAGGAGTGCAGGCGATGAAACCACGGCACACACAGGGGTTACGAGGTGCTGTGTCCTTTCTCTCCAGTCCCCCCTCCTGCTTTTCCCAGCAGGCAGCCCTGCCAAAACCACTGCCTCCCTCTCACTCGCCCGGTGCATTTCCTCTCATCGGGACTACGGTTATTTTTTGCTGTGCTGCAACACGAGGTCAGATGTGCCGATGGAGAACTGTGCAGGGCATTAACACTCAGGCAGCCGGTGTCTGAGCATCCCATCTCTGCGTGGCCTGACCCTGTGTGATTCTCTGGGCATTCCCAGCTCTCCTCGCCAGCCGCTTCTCCCAAGGCTGAAGGAGCTGAAAGCCCTTGGGAGTTATCCTTGTTCTGCAGGGGTTATGCTGGGGCAGGGTGACAGGGATGCAGCTTGCCATCTCTGCACAGCCTCCCAGAAGATGCCGAGGCAGCTGAGGAGCTGCACTGCCCCCCACCCGTCTCCTAGCAGACCTGTTTTTGGGGGAGGAAGGTGCATTCTGGCAAGTTGGAAGCAGTGGGGCATACTGGACTTCTCTGGAGGAGCAGAGCCAGGGGTTTGGGCTCCAGAAAGGCTCAGGGAGAAGGGCAAAAGCAGCTTACTCCAACCCTTTCATTCATCAGAGAACTGACCCATGCTTGGAGCAACCTCCACTTAAACTCTGCTCACCCTGCTAGCACCTGCTGCTCCTTTCCACAGCCCGTATTATTTTTCAGGACCTTCTTTAAATCCCTCGAAATCTCTGCAAGATATTGCAGAGCTGTGGCCTCGAGAAAAGGCCATTCCTATCCTTTCTTGGCCTTGTGCCTTCAGTAACAATCCTTCTCCCAACCCAAACACACCCCTCCTATTTACCGGCACAGAGGGGTGTGCCATGATCCCGATGGCTGTAAGGGTTGAAAAGCACATTCCCTCCCAGCAGAAAGGCAGCTGGGTCCGAGTACATCCTGAGCTGCTACTCTCAGCACCCTCCAGCTCTGTCTGACCCCTGCTCCATCCAAACTGCATCCAGGGGTTGCTCCTCTCCCAAGCCTGCTTTGGCAAAGGTGTGGATGGGAGAGCTGACAGAGTTTTGCCTCCCAACCCTCCCACGCCTTTCCCCACCACAGCGTGGCCACGAGCCCACACAACGCGAGGGGTGGTGGCTCTTTGGTGTGCCCTGTCAGGGCAGAGGGACCACCGGGGCCATCGTCCTCGCCCTCAGCCCACCCTGCGGCATCTGCCTAGCAGCAGGTGAGAGGAAATCCCTGCGGGGAATCCTGCCCTGTCCTGCCCGCCCAAACTCTGCAGCAGCGTTTGGCCCCGGTTCGTGTCCAAGCAGCGCTGGCGAACAAGCCGTGAGAGCCGGAAGGATCTGAAGGCAGCGGGGCGCTCGGAGCCGCCGCAGCCGCGCTGGGCGGTTCAGGCAGCGGGGCAGAGCCTGGCTCTGAATGCTGATCAGCCTCCCGCCCCTCGGCTCAGCGGGCTGGAGTAATAACCATGACAATAGTAATAAAAGCCAGGCCACCAGCAGGTACCGACAGATCCCCCACGGTGCACAGGGGCCGCATTGTGTGTGCTAACGTGTCCCGCGGTGGGAACATGCCAGCGGGATGAGACAATCCCCGCGCCTGGCAGCCGCGGAGTGTGACCGGCCGTCACATGGAAGGGCCGCGGCAGGGAACGCCGCGCTCCTTTATTTCCCCGGCGAGGGTTGCCGAGGGGCAGCCACACTGGCAGGGCTGTTCGCTCGCCCTGGGCCCGGAAGAGCCGTGCGAGGGGGGAAGGCTCCATCCCCGACTCTCACCGCGGTCACGGGTCAGGCAGGGCCAAGCACAGCCCCAGCTGCTGTCTCCCGCTGCCGGCGTTCCTTACATAATGGGATCTCAGTGCTCGTGCCCAACTCCCCGACCAGAGCTCGAAAACAAGTTCATAAACAGGTCCTGCTAATTTCTCCCTCAAGAGAAACCGTGGCGCCCACAGGAATGCTGCCACCAGCAGCCGTCATCACTCTCCCCAAGCACACTTACTCCGAGTATCGGTCACGTGCCGGGAGAGCATGAGCAGCCCAGCTCAGCCGCATTCATGGCGCTCGGGACAGCACCCAAGAGCACTCTGGTTTATTTTGTATTTGCACTGCAGAAGGATTTGGACACTGGTCCTTACCTCCACACTGAGGTCCCTTTGGCGGGACGTCCCGTGGAGAGCTGGTCTGTCACCCTGAATCCTGGAGCCAGCCCAGCCTCTGCACAGCTGGAGCCCGATGGGCTCTCCTCGGTGTGGTGAACCGCGGCAGTTTGCCATGGATTCAGCACAGCTGGGCCGGGGAGCACAGCTCTGCCTGGGACAGCCAGCTGCTGAAGGGAGACAGCTCCATAATCAGTGCCTTGATCACCCCCTCCTTGTCCCTGGCCTCACTCTGTTCTGCAGATGGCACAGGGAGGCTGGAGGTTTTTGCTGTACCCCGGCAGCACCAGGCTGCAGCCACCTGTGAGTTGGCTTTCCCAGGAGGAAAGGTTCACTGGCACCACCATCCTGGGCCCTGCACTGAGGCTCTGCACCAGAGCAGGCACCAGTGCTTTGGTCAGATATACCAAGGCAAAGAGCCCTTCAGGCAGCCTGGACTGCTGCCCCAGGCATTGCAGGAAGACGCTGAGCAGCCAGAAGAGGACCAGAGCCTCTTCAAGAGTTCGTGGTGAGTCGCCCTGAGTCACGGTGCATCCCCACGTGGTGCTGCCAGCACAGCCCAGCCCGCAGGAGCAGCACCTGCAGATGATGGGGTTTCACTGAAGGATGCCCAGAAACAGGATGCAGAGAAGCCCTGGAAGAGCTCTCAGGAAGATGTGACATTGATCTCCATGACATCTCACCAGGCTCAGCACCTTTCTCCAGTGTGGTTCCTGTGCTGCTCCGTGCTGCTGGCAGCCAGCTCCTCTGCTGTCCTTGCCCCTGTTCCTGCCAGACAGGGTGGGAATGCTGCTCCCTCTGTTCCCTCCTCCCCAGCCTGGAGGAGCAGAGGGTTTGGGTTCTGCTCAGGCAGAGCACAGGATGTTTGTTTGGTTTCCTTGGTTATTACACTGCCTGCTCCAATAATCACATTTTCCTTGTGCCGGTTGGGCCAAGTGCAGCAGAAAGGAAATGTGGAATGGCTGAGGTCAAACACCAGCCTGGGAACAGCTGGGGCCACCAGCCACAGCCTCTCTGTGCCACTTGGGTCCTTGCTATTTTGGGTACCCAGCCCAAAAGGAAGCTACCAAGACCGGGGATGCAGCAACAAGCTCCTTCAACAACAGCCCAAGGGCTCCCATCACTCCGTCCCGTGAGCTGGGGACACAAGCACCGGCAGTGAACTGCTTGAGGAATTACAGGAATGAAAATGTTTGTGCAGGCAGAAGCCAAGCTGGCTGTGAGCGGGGATGTGAGAGGGAGCCTGGAGCGTGGGTGCGGCTGCATTTATAGTGACGGTGGTGGCGGGGGCGTGACAGGCAGGGCTGTGCACGGGCAGCGGTGACAGGGTTGCCAGTTCCTTTCATTGCTTATACATCCTTCGGCCCAGAAAGCCTGGAGCACTAAGGCCAGCTGTTGACCCTGGGAGTTCCCCTGCTCGTTAGCATTCACACACAGCCCTCTGTTTGGTAGCAGGGAAACTGAAAGTGTGCAAACCGCGGCTGATCTCACACCAGCTCCCCTTCCCCCTTGAGAACTCCCTTCAGCAGCTGTGAGCACAGCGGATGAGCTCCCCATTCTGGCTGCCCTGCACCTCAGGGAGGGATCTGAGGCTCCAGCACAGCAAGTGCTGGTGATGCTGCTGCTCTGGTGTGTCACATCTCTCCAACGGTGACTAGATCAATGTGTGCTGGTAAAGCAGAGCAGAAGGGAACCACCAACCGTGCAGCACAGCCATGCAGTGTGAGCCGGGACAGGCAGAAGGGCTCCGACAGCCCTGCCTGCTCCAACTCTCCTCACCTTTCTCCCCAGCTGAGATGGAGCAGGCCCAGCGGAACCTGGATGCAGAGCAGATGCAGCAGCAGCAGCTGAAACTGCGGGACAGGCAGAAGTTCTTTGAGGAGGTTTTCCAGCATGATGTGGATTTCTTCTTCCCCATGTCTCACCTGCAGATTGAGCACCGGAGACGTACGTGCTGTGGGCACCAGCACGGGGCTGGGGGGTTTCAGGGACAGTGACACAGGGGTTGGAGATTGGTGGGACATCCCCAGTCCAAACAGGACACCCATGTCCTGAACCAAGATGGGACCACAGTGGCTGTGTGGGTGTGCTGTGGGTTACTCACACCCCTCCACTGAAGGCACATGGGTACCCAAGCTGGTGCCCTGTAGTGCCTGGCTTTGGGCAGGCTACATTTTGGAGCAGGCACAAGGACTGCAGTGACACAGCAGGGGCTTCCAGAGGGATGTTTTAAGGAAACATGATTTTCCTGGGGGCTCTTACCAGCAAGTAGAATTCAGTTCTTTGTGTCAAGGGTGGTCTCCCACTTCAGGGTCCTGCCTGCACAGAGCTGATTGTGCCTTTTGCCTGGCACTATCACTCACCTTTTCACTGGCCTCTGTCTCTGCAGCCCCCTTAGGCAGCATTTCCTCCATGGAGGTGAACGTGGACATGCTGGAGCAGATGGATGTGCTGGACCTGTCAGACCAGGACACTGTGGATGTGTTTCTGGGCTGTGGGACAGAGGAGAGCAGCATTGCTGGGTCTCTGCCAGGTATGTGCAGTCCCAAGCCCTTTGTGGGCCAGGCTGGAAGCCCTTCCTGCCCCCAGTGCCCACACTGGCTCATTCCTCAGCCCCAGCCACCCTGTGGGCAGATCCACACCCACCCAAAGGCAGATATTGGTGCTGGGTTTGTGAAGTTGGAGGGACCTCATATGGGGCTGTTCCACATCAGTATCCACCTCCTCTGCCCAGACATACAGACCCTTGTAAATTCCTTGTGCTGCAGAAGACAGAAGAGGCCAGGCACCTTCCAGAGTGTGAGTCAAATTCCCTTGTCCCGAAGCCTCTCTGGAGCAGCCAGTGCCTTGTCACAACTCCCAAGGTCCCCTCCATGCTGCAGAGCTCATTGTGCTGAGCAGGAAGGCTGCAGAACCAGGGAGCTGGGCTGGGGTCTGCAGGGAAAGTAAGGGGTTCCAGCACATTCCTCCCCACTCACACACTGTAGTGAGGTCAAACCAAAGGTCTCCTTGCCTGCTGCAGCCAACAGCCTCACACAGCGTGGCTCTGGGCCGTGTTTCAGGCAAGATGGAAGAGGCTCCACTGCCAAAAACGGGGAAGGAATGTGCAGCAACTGCCCTGAGCCAAGCCGGGGGTGTGAGGTGGGGAATGGCTGCAGCAGCCACACGGGGAGCAGTCAGGAATGCACAGCCCACTGAGGAGTGAGTCTTGGAGGGGCCATCCATGAAGCTTAGGCAGCAATAAACCTCCAAGAGCCTTTTTCATTCTCATACTGCTCTCTTCTCCAGGGGCAGATGCCAGCCAGTGCCCAGAGGAGATCACCCTGCCAGTGCCCAATGCAGCTGAGAGCAAGTCTCGCATTTCCTCCACGTCCTCTGCCTCCACGGATTTGAACAGCCTGGACACCAGCGAGGAGGGGGCCGAGACCCCCGTGGTGCAGTCGGATGAGGAGGACCTGCAGGAGGACAGTCCCAAAGAGCAGGTGGTGAGAAGCTAGCAGGCAGCTCTGCCCTGCTCCCAGCCTCCTCCCTACGGACTCACCAGCCCAGAAGGAAAGCGGCTGGTGCTCAGTTAACCCCACCCTGGACTGCTGCCCTGCCAGAGGGGAGAGATGGTTTTCCCCTCCTCTCCCTCCATGTGTTCTCCTGGCAGCTAAAGGAGAAGGAAAGGGGTACTGTAAGCTCCCAAAATTAACTCTTCAGGCTTTGCTGCTAACACTCCCTGCTTCACTCCCTACTCCCCAACATGCCCAGCATCCCACAGCTCCACCACCTCCAGAAAGCCATCCCTTGGGATCCCAGTTCCCCCTGCCCTACTGACAAAGGTTCTGTCCAGACAAGCACTTAACGACGGCACAGAGAGAAATAACACTGATCTAACCAAGCAGTGGGTGTGTGTGTCATTGGGGGAAAACAGCACGGGGGATGAGGGTTCAGGGGGGATTGCAGGAGGGAGAGCAGTGCAAAGCCAGGCTGCTCACTGTGCCACGCAGGAGCAGATGAAGCCTCCTGTTGCACAGCCCAGGGCTGGCTCCTGTGCCCAGGCAGGAACAGACAGCACAGGCCTTGGCAGGGAAGGGCTGCAGGGCACGATGGGGAGCAACTCAGGCTCTGCAGAGAGAGGCAGCACAGACAGAATCACAGAAACACAGAAAAATGAGGTTGGAAGAGACCTCTAAGATCACGGAGTCCAACCTATGCCCTAACACCTCAACTAGACTACAGCACCAAGTGCCATGTCCAGTCTTTTTTTAAACACATCCAGAGATGGTGATACTGACAAAGGTTCTGTCCAGACAAGCACTTAACGACGGCACAGAGAGAAATAACACTGATCTAACCAAGCAGTGGGTGTGTGTGTCATTGGGGGAAAACAGCACGGGGGATGAGGGTTCAGGGGGGATTGCAGGAGGGAGAGCAGTGCAAAGCCAGGCTGCTCACTGTGCCACGCAGGAGCAGATGAAGCCTTCTGTTGCACAGCCCAGGGCTGGCTCCTGTGCCCAGGCAGGAACAGACAGCACAGGCCTTGGCAGGGAAGGGCTGCAGGGCACGATGGGGAGCAACTCAGGCTCTGCAGAGAGAGGCAGCACAGACAGAATCACAGAAACACAGAAAAATGAGGTTGGAAGAGACCTCTAAGATCACGGAGTCCAACCTATGCCCTAACACCTCAACTAGACTACAGCACCAAGTGCCATGTCCAGTCTTTTTTTAAACACATCCAGAGATGGTGATTCCACCACCTCCCTGGGGAGAGCATTCCAGTGCTTTATTATTCTTTCGGTGAAAAATTGTTCCTAATATCCAACCTATACCTTCCCTGACGTAGCTTGAGACACAGCTGGCTGAGCGGGGGCTGCTCGTGACCTGGAACCCCCAGCCAGGAGCACAGTGGGGACTTGCCACGCAGATGGGCTGAGCAGAGAACACCAGCAGCTGCTCCCCTCTGCTGCTCCACAGCAGTGGAGGGAGCACCACCAACGTGAGGCCACTTTACAGCCAAAGCTGGGCACAAAGCTGGCCACAGGCCCCTTCATCAGTGGCTGCAGGCCAGGAAAGCGCTGTCCCTGCCCCTGCATCAGCACAGCCGTGGTCACCACGGGGAAAGGAGCCTGGCAGATAAGCAACAGAAGCCAGGGAATGCTCCTCATCCTGGCTGCTTCCCAGGGGGTGTTGAGATATGGCTGCACTGTTCCTGTGTCAACCAGCACTTTGTGGGACCAGCTGGAGTGCTCCGTATCTGAGTGCAGCAGAAATGTGTTGCATGTGCTGCCTTAAGCTGGGAAATTGATCAAGAGAAAAGGGCCAGGCTTCATGACTTTTCAGGCTGTAGCACAGGGACTTCTCTCTCTAGGTATAGGGTCATTAACAGCGCTGGATGGATGTTTTTACCTTTTATTTGGCTGATCACTTCCAACATGCATCTAAACCTTTATTACCTACCAGTATCCCGTTGCAAGGAGTTGCCCAGTGTAAAAAAATACCCAAACCAACAACAGTATGTAAATATGACCTTTTTTTTTTCCTGGACATGTTGACTTTCTGGTTTTATGTGATGTTAGTAATTGGCAAGAGGGGGAAAAAGAGATAGAAAGTAACTCCTTATTCTTCACAAACACTGAATCACATTGTCAGTTGCAAGTTAACCTTGCATGAGGACCTTAGATCTTAGCAAGTGGGTAATCAACAAGGTATAGCAGCTGGTAAGTGGCAACCACACGTTGCTATAATTTTAATGCTTATTTCCTATGGAACAAATCATCACCACACTCAAATCACCACGGGGAGAACAGGAGATGCTGTGAGCTCCGTCGGACCGTCACTGCCTTGCCGTGCCTGCGTTCCCTTCCCCGGGGGCGGCCCCGGCTGGCGGCTGTGGACGCGGGGCGCTCCCGGACGGCTCTGCAGCCGGAGACAGGCGCTGCCCTGCGGGAGGGACACGAGGAGCGAGGGCGAGGCGGCAGCCGCGGGAGGAGCGGAGAAGTGGAAGGCACCTGGGGACAGGCACAGTCCTCGCAGCGTCCTGGGCACCGCCAGCCCCGCGGGGAGCCAGCCAAGCTGGGACGGCGCCAGGGCTTCCCTGCAGCCCCGATTTCAGAGCGGCGGAAGGGAGCCCTCGGAGAGCCGCCCAGCCCCTCTCAAACAGCAGAGCTGGCCGCGATCATCCCCGTGGGTCCTTTCCGCGGAATATTCTGCGGTTCTGCGAAAGCGCTGGCGCTCGCTGCTGGGCCAGCAGCACAGCCGGGCTGGCGCTGCTCCCGCGGAGGCTGCGGGCTCGCTCCGTGCGGCAGCTCCCGGTGCCAGGCCGGGACAGCCCGCGGCCCGGGCGCACACAGCGTCTCCATGGCACCCCCGGAAGCGGCGCCATTGGCGGCGCCGGCGGAAGCGGAAGCGGCGCGGGGCGGGGCGGGCGGTGGGATGGCGGCGGCGTTGCTGCTGCTGCTGCTGGCGGCGGCAGGGCCCGGGCCCGGGCGGGCGGACTCGGGGCAGGAGCGGCGGGACGCGCTGCGGGAGGAGCTGCTGCTGAGCCCGCTGCCCACCGGCGATGTGGCCGCCACCTTCCAGTTCCGCACGCGCTGGGACGCGGACCTGCAGCGGGGCGCAGGTAGGGCGGGCCCGGCCGGGGCGGACCGCGCTGCTATTGGCTGGCGCGGGGGCGGACCGCGCTGCTATTGGTTGAAGCGGTGCGCAGGGGTGGGGCTGTCGCTGAGGGACCACGCGACGTGATGGTTTGCCTCGAGCGTTGACGTCACGGGCGCGAGTGACGTCAGAGCGGGGTGAGGGGAGCAGGGACAGGGCAGAGGCTGTGGGCATGGAGCGGTGACATCACACGGGGCCGTGACGCCAGCGGGCCGCGTGTGGTGGCGCAAGCATTGGCAGTGTCGGGTGACGTCAGGGTGGGGCAGGCCCCGGTGTGATGTCGGGGAAGGGGTCGGGGCACGAGGGGCAGGACTAACGCTGCCCACAGTCTCTCACTACAGGCTCTTCCCCAAGGCGCTGGGGCGGCTGGTGGCAGCGCTGGGCGTGCGGGAGCTCCACCTCGCGCTCACCCAGGGCTTCTGGCGCACCCGCTACTGGGGGCAGCCGCCCCTGCAGGCACCCGCTGGCGCTGAGCTCTGGGTCTGGTTCCAGCCCACGGTCACCGAGTAGGTACCCCAGCCATGCATCTGTCCCTCTGGGTCCCCTCTGTGCCCACTGCTCCAGGAGCTGTTGTTTGTCTCTCCTGAGGCAGCCACGGTGTGTAAGCAGGCCTCCTGGGTTGAAAAATGTCTGCTGGAAAGAAGAGCCCAGGAGTAGCTCTAAAAACCCACAGAACATGCCCATCTGTTCACAGCACAGGATGTGGTGCTGAGGGCAAATCCTTGTTCACTAGAGGTCCAAGTAATTCCCCTGTGGGCTCTGTGATGACAAGCACTTCATGATGCATAGAGAGAAATAACACTGATCTAAGCAAGCAGTGGGTGTGTGTGTCATTGGGGGAAAACAGCACGGGGGATGAGGGTTCAGAGTGGATTGCAGGACCCCTTGCTGCGCTAATACAGTGGGGCTGTATCTTGATCTCTCATCCATGACTCACTTCCTTTGACTCCCATCCAATACCTGTCACCATCTCCCCTAGCACACCACCCCTGTTCAAGCTGCAGCAGCCCTGTGGGGACTCACAGAGCTCTCTCCTCCCTGCAAGTGTCCCATCTCTTGTCTGCTGCACCAAGGCATTGCTCTGGGTCTCACAGCCCCTTCCCCATTCACACACATCACCTCCTGTGTGCTCCTTGCTCCCCTGGCCTCTCTCCTCACATATCAGCTGTGCCCACTGCCATGTCCCTTGGCTGTGTGATGCCTGTGAGTCCTTGCTGCGTGTCCCTGCTGTGTGTCCCTCAAATCTGATGTGTCAGAATAAAATACCAAGAGAGCTGGGGTGTGCCAGCCCAGCAGTCTCTCTGCACGCTCCATGCAGCTTTGGTAGCCCAGTGTGGTCACTCCACTGTATTTTCTGAATGTTACTGACTTAACACTTGTTGTTTCAAGGATCTGAGCTGCTGAGTAATCTCTGGTGTCTGTTCTCACACACAGTGTTGACAAAGCCTGGAAAGAACTGAGTAACATCCTTTCGGGAATATTCTGTGCTTCTCTCAACTTCATTGACTCGACCAACACAGTGATTCCAACAGCATCCTTCAAACCCCTGGGTTTAGCCAATGGTGAGCCTGGCTCTGCTCTCTCACTCTTGCTTTTCACTTTAGTTCTGCCCCGTGCCACTGCCAGCATTCCAGGTGCAGGTCCTGCAACGACTCTGGGTCTGGGTGTGTACAACAGCATCTGTTAACCTCTTCCTGGAAGGATTTCTTCTCCCTGCAAACAAGGCTTGGAATTAAACAGAGGAAACTCAAAAATAATACATGGCTGATGCTCCCAGGCCCTTATATATCTCTATGAAAGTGTTTTACAAAACAGTGAGGACTACAGTGTTAAAGGCACTCACAAAAAAAGATCTGCTAGGATGTATCCTTACCCATTCTTTGCAATCACTCTGAACAGAGTGGGGTCTGCTTCTGGTGGAGCTCATGGCATTTCAAGCACTGAGAGGGTGGTGGGGTACACTGGGGGTGTAGCAGCTCTGCTGCTGTGCTCATGCCTGTAGCAGTCCCAGCCTGCTCTCCTCCCTCTCCCTGCCCAGGGACAGATCACCATCTCCTGCGTTACGCTGTCCTGCCCCGGGAAGTCGTCTGCACAGAGAACCTCACCCCTTGGAAGAAGCTGCTGCCATGTGGCTCAAAGGTAGAGACAAGTCCTGCTGGCCAGTTGGGCCACTGCTGATGGAGCTGGGCTCCCAGCAGCAATCTGGGAGCATGCACTGGGAGGTTCCCTCAGGGCCTTCCTCTCGGTGGGAGCAGAGGACAGGGCAGGGGCTGAGTTTCTCCTGTGTTCCCTGCAGGCCGGGCTGGCTGTGCTGCTGAAGGCTGAGCGCTTGTTCCACAGCAGCTACCACTCCCAGGCAGTGCACATCCGCCCCATCTGCAGGGTAAGTGCTGGGCTCAGCTCCCTTCCTGAACTCCCCAAGAGAAAATCCAAAGCCCTCTTGTCACACCACAAGGTATCACACTGGTTTGCCCAGCTACCCTGTGATGGGTCCAACTGTCTAACACAGTTGTCATCCGGCTTCTGTGGTAACCCCAACTGAAATCTTGCAGTCCTCCTGGAGTTCCAGCTCCATCCTGGTGTCCTCCCCCTCCAGAAGGTGTGATCAGAGCTGCTTTTCTCTGTCTTGTCCAGGATGCCTCCTGCCTGGCTGTGTCCTGGGAGCTCAGACAGACCCTCACTGTGGTCTTTGACTTCTTTTCCAGTGGCCAGGGAAAGAAAGGTAAGCATGGTGGCTGTTCTCGAGTGCTCCCAGCCTGCAGCACTTGACCTGCCACCTGACCTTGCTTCCCACAGACTGGTCCCTCTTTAAGATGTTCTCTCGCACGCTGACTGACACGTGTCCTCTGGCCTCGCAGAGCAAAGTCTATGTTGACATTTCCCCTAAGAACAAGGTAAACTCATGGGCCTGAAAGCATGCCCTGCTCCCTCAGTTCAGCCACTTCATGTGGCTCTGAAACATCCTCACCTCCATCCTCTGCATGGCCTGGCTCTCAGGGGCTAACAAAGGGAGGTGATTTCCTTGCTCTGAGCAGGGCTGAGGCGATGAGCCTGGTGGTGTTAGCAGGAGCACAGAGCTGGCTGTTGGGTGGCAAAGCTCAGGGCTATCTGGAGGGACTTTGTCAGTGCTGCCAGTTTCTTCAAAAGGGGCACTTTTTCCTTTCATGGTCCATTTGCTTTCCTCAGGAAAAGGAGCTACTGGAAGTGTCCCCCCCTCCAACATCAGTACATGAAGCTGTTGTCCAGGGAGACAAGAAAACCTATGCTGTGTATGACCTGCTGAGCCCCTCGCTCTTCAACACATCTCGCAGCCTCAATGTGCAGCTGAAGTGGAAGCGGCCCCAAGACAGCTGTGAGTGAGCAGAACTTCACTTCATCTGCACCACTGGCCGGGGCTCCAGGGCTGACAATCACCCCACTGCTGTCCTTCCTCTTCCACAGCGGAAATGCCCATTCCCACTCTCCATGCTCAGCGTTACGTGGGGGGGTACGGGCTGCAGACCGGGCAGATCTGCACCCTCATCTACAACACCCACCCCTACCGAGCATTCCCCGTGATCCTGCTGGAGACTGTGCCCTGGTACCTGCGGCTCTACGTGCACACCCTGACTATCATCACCAAAGGGAAGGAAAACAAGCCCAGTGAGTGAATCCCCAAGCAGCACATGCCACCCAATTCCCTTGGCATGAGCAGCTCGTTCCAAAGATGGTGTAGTCCCTCCCTCAGGCCCCAGTGGTCACTGGGAAACTGGATTGTGAAACAAAACATTTTAGGATGTTTTCCTAACCCTAGGTTCAGTGCTCACAGCAGATGAGACCATTAAGTCTGTTTTTTTATGAGGCACATGGATAGTGTTTCATAATCCAATAAGGGTTTAAACCAACATGAATTAATTTTTGTAGCATAGGAAGCTCAATTTAAAACTGATGATTGGATTTAATTTTGCATTTATACCTTTCCTTATGAATACCTGACTGTCATGGGTCAGTAGCTTTTTGCTATGGGTGCATCTTCACTTGCCCAGAAAACCTCTCTCAGGACAGTGGAAGCAGGATCACCCACCTCATGGGAGATGTCCAGGCAATGTGAGATTGGACAAGGTTCCCTGGTGCCATTGTGGAAATCTCTTTGGGGTTAGGTTACATCCACTACCAGCCAGCCCAGGACCGGAGACGGCCTCACCTGTTGGAAATGCTGATCCAGCTGCCAGCCAACTCCGTCACAAAGATCACAATCCAGTTTGAGAGGGCCTTACTGAAGTGGACAGAGTACCCACCTGACCCCAATCACGGCTTTTATGTTGGGTAATGACATTCCCCAGCTCCTCATCCCTATCGGGGCTTTGCATAGGACTTACTGCCCAGGTCTCTGGAGATGTCTTTGCTGCCAGGACTGACACTGGCATGTTCTTTGTCCCCTTAGTTCATCTGTGCTCAGTGCCCTGGTGCCCAGTGTCACTGCAATGAAGGACATGGATGTGGAGCAGAGCCCTCTCTTCACCTCGCTGTGAGTGTGCTCATGCTGGGGAGCAGGGCTGTGACACAACCTGCGGGCTGTGGCTGCTCTCATCCTCTCTGGTGAGCACAAAGCACTGGTTCTGACCTTGCCTTTCCTTCTTCCACTCTCCAGGTTTCCTTCCTCCGATGGCTCCAGCTATTTTGTGCGCCTGTACACGGAGCCACTGCTGGTGAACCTGCCAACACCAGACTTCAGCATGCCCTACAACGTCATCTGCCTCACCTGCACCGTGGTGGCCGTGTGCTACGGCTCCTTCTACAACCTGCTGACCAGAACGTTCCACGTGGAGGAGCCCAGCCGGGGCGGGCTGGCCAAGCGGCTGGCCAATGTCATCCGAAAATTCAGGGGGGTGCCCCCACTCTGAGAGGAGCCAGGGCAGCCAGCACTGCCTGCAGGGCTCTGTGGGGAGACAGACAGCAGAGCACTGCTGCCTCTTGTCTTGCTGAAAGCAGCTTGTTCCGTTTTGCTGCCAGGAATTCTCTTTGGGATCCAATAAGCTGAGAGATCACTTCCATTGCTAAGATGGGAAATGGCTCTAAGCCCATTGACTACTGAACTGCACTGCTGTGGGACGGGGAAAAGTAAAAGACTTCTGTTTGGGAGAGGTGTAACTTACATGCTGGGAATGGTGCTGGAAGTAAACTGGAGTGTTTTGTACATCTGTGCTGCTCCTGGTTGGTTTTGCTTTCTCGGCTCATGGGCAGAGTTGACCCTCTAAGACTGTGAGCTGCCAACTCTGTAGCACACTGCCTGGATCATCTGGGATTTGATGCAGGCAGGACCAGGCAAGGGGGGTTGATCTGCAGAAAAGAGAGGGATTCATCTGTTCTAACATCTCACCTTTCATGGTTGCCATGTTTCACACGTGTCCTGTCAGACTTGGCCACATTGGAGCCAGTTTGCAAATTAATTGTTGGGCACAGTGCATGTCTGCCCCCTCACCAACAGCAAGGGTTTATTTTCTTTCACAAGAAAAAAAAGCTGCTCTTGCTCACAACTTCTATTTGCAGGATTTTGAAACCCTCCACCTACTCACCCCTCTGCCACAGCACAGGATTCTCCTCTGCACCCACAGTGTCCCTGGAGCTTTGGGGAGCCTTGGCTCAGCAGATCCCAAGTGCTGAGCTGCAGCCAGCCCTGAGCTGGGAATGCAGGAACACTGGCACCACTGTGCTCCTCAGTTATTTTCTCAAAATACAAATGACCACCTTGTGGTTCACACAGAGCAGTGGGAGGTCACTGTGGTGCTGCTTGGCCTCTGACAGTGCTGCTGTCAGGGCTACGCCCTTTCCATCTCAGATGTGGCTTTTGTGATTGCAAAAGACACTGCTTACAACCAGCTAAACAAAGGACAGGGAAGTCACTGGAAGAAATACTCCCCAGAAACAAAGCAGAGCACAGCCAGAAGTCCTTTAAAAGCTTCTGCTTGAACAGAAAAGCCATAAAAACCCCATGGCCTCCTGCCCTGCACAGAACAAGCTGTTCCCACTAGCCTAGGATTACCTTTCCCTTCCATGCCAGAGATGCTTTTTACTCTGCAGCTCCTTACAGATCCACTCCACTGCATGGCTCCATGCAGCCTGCAGAGCCTGCTGAAATACGAGTTTTGGATGATTCCTCTCTGTTCCTGCCTGCTGAAAAAGGTGCCACAGGGCTGGGAGCTTACAGTCCTGCCAGCCAGGCTTCAAGCGCAAAATGGAATTTCTTTATAGAAAGCCAGAACTACAACCAAAACCCAAGCAAGCACACAGCTCCCATAGCAGTCTTAGGCATGAGGGTTCACATTGCAGTTTGCAAAAGGATTTGCAGACCTCAAGTTGTATCAGTTGGATCCAATGTCAATCCTGCAGGCTGCAAACAGCAGCATGTGCTGGAGCAGCTCGGAGCAGTCCAGTTCCCTGTGTGAAGCCTGCTGGCTGCTGGTGTTGGGTGGGATCCTGAAAGTCCCCTAAGTGCCATGGGAATCATGGCTGGCATCTAGTAGTTATTTTCACTATGAACCATCAGAGCTGGCATCAGCCAAAGGCTTTAGGGCCATTCCTGTGCAGTGCCATAAACCAGGAATTTTAAACACCCCATAAAGAGGTCAGCCCAGAATAATGGCAGAGCAGAGGGAAACTATCCCAGGCTGGATACAGACTTCTAGGGCCAGTGGGAGAGCAGGTCTTATCATAACTATCAAAAATGCACAGGCCAGCCAAGTGGAAAACTGTGGGAAATGTGGGTGGCCCTGCAACTGTGGCTGGCTGGGTTTTAAATGGTTGTGAAAATGCCAAATCTTAGTCTTTGGGGTTTTTGGTTTTGTTTTTCATGGACTATTTTTCTTTCCCTTGGGTTACTCAGTATAGGAGAGACATGGAGCTCCCTGAGGCGAGTCAGGAGAGGGCTGTGAAGATGCCATCTCTTACAAGGAAAAGCTGAGGGAGCTGGGGCTGTTTAGGCTGGGGGAGAGATGACTGAGAGGGGAGCTTACCAATGCCTGTGAGCAGCTGCAGGGAGGGTGTTCTGAGGATGGAGCCAGGCTCTCCCCAGTGGTGCTGAACAGTGGGATGAGGTAACAGGAACACTGGAAGTTCCACCTGGACATGAAGAACTTCACTGCATGGGTGACTGGAACAGGCTGCACTGAGATATTCCCGTAGCCCTGGACACGATCCAGAGCACTGTGCTGAGGGGGCCAGCGGAGCAGGGGTGGAGGGATGGCCTGCAGGGCTCCCTGCCCAGCCCCGAGGGGACCCAGCGGAGCAGGGGTGGAGGGATGGCCTGCAGGGCTCCCTGCCCAGCCCCACTGTCCTCCGTGGCTCTGAGGCAGCACAGCACAAGGTGCAATGGAGCATGAAATCACAACTGAATAATAACCACGGAATATTCAGAGTTGGAAGGGACCCCTGAGGATCCTCAAGCCCAGCTCCTGGCCCTGCACAGGACACCCCAACAATCCCACCCTGTGCCTGAGAGAGGTGTCCAAACGCTTCTATAACTCAGACAGGCTCGGGGCTGTGAGCACTGCCTGTTCCAGTGCCCGACCACCCTCTGGGTGAAAATCCTTTTCTAATACCCAGCCTAACCCTCCCCTGACACAGATTCAGGCCATTCCCTCAGGTCCTGTCACTGCTCATGGGAGCCAAGAGCTCGGAGCTGCCCCTCGTGAGGAAGCTGTAAGCAGCGCTGAGGTGTCCCCTTCAGCCTCCTTTCCTCCAGGCTGACCAGCCCAAGCGTGCCTCACCACAAGAACCCATAAACGCAAAAATCTTTTCGCAAAACGCGGATCCGGCCGAGGCCGGCTCCCAGCGCCTCCCTCCCGTGCGCAGGCGCAGCGCCGTCCGCGCAGGCGCAGCACCCGCCGCGCTCCGCTGCCGCCGCGCGGGGCTGCCCGGACCCGCCTGAGGAGCGGCCGCTGCCCGCGCCCCCGCCCCGCCGGCGGAGCAGCAGCGCACCGCGGCCGGCAGCGCTCCCGGGGACAGCCGCCCTGCCGCCCGCCTGGGGAGCGGCGCGTCCCCCGGCTCCGGGAGACCTCTCCCTCCTTGCTCAGGGCGGCGTGAGGCGGCGGCGCCGCGCGGTGAGTACGGGCCGGGGAGCGGCCGGGGCCCAGCCGGCGGGGCTGGCGGAGCGGGGGAGCGCTGCGAGCTTCGGGCGTCGTGGGGGGAAAGGGGGAAGGTTTCCCCCGCCGAGGAGCCCCGCGCTCGTAGCTCTGCGTGCGCCCTGGTGGAAAAGGCTTCAACCGACCCTGAGCTCGGTGCCAGCATGGAAATAACAGCACTGTGTGTGTGCCCTCCCTTCCTTCCTTCTGCTGTCGGCCACGAGCCTCTCCAGCTCTCGTTAGCGCCTTCTGAAAGGAAACCCGGGCCCGTTTGTCCCCAGGGCAGCACAATGCTCTGACAGGCTTTGTGCAGGCAGCTGGACTGGGATGGGCCTGGTGGGTCCCTTCCAAGCCGGGATATTGGGTGATACTCTGTGCATACAGCTCTCTGCAGCGCTGTTGTGTCCGGCCAGGCACCCTCCCCGAGCACCCATACATGCTTTGAGCCAGCTACAAAGTGAGTTTACAGGCTGTTCTGTCATACGAGCATTGCTCATGATAGCCCAAACATGCAAGTGCAAAAGAAGAGGAAAAACAAGCTCTTAAGTCCACAGCATGCTGAACTCTCCCATACTTGCTTGGTACTGAAACATTTCAATGGACCTTGCAAGTACTGTCATAATGTCATAGTGCAGTAACCTTTGTCTTTCCAGACTGTAGGTCATAACTCCTCATAGCTGCTCAAACAGCATTTTTGCTATTTCTAATCTGAGATGCAGAAAACTCACCCTTATCAGGTTGTATTTGGACCTCTGAAGCCTGCTGAAGGCACAAAAGGTAGAGAAGAGGTCCAAATTAAAACTGCTTTTCTCGGGGAAGTTGGAATGGGCCTGGAAGTTGTGATCTGTAGCAGTTAGACAAAGGCAGAAGGTGGGAATGAGGACCTCTGAAAACGAATGAATTAGTAAAATGGAAGTAGTAATACTTCAGATGACAGCTGTGCCTGCTGACATCTCTTCCCATCACAGAGCTGGCTAACTTAAGCTTCTGCTCCTCTGGTTCCTGATGATTTCCAGTCCCATTCCAACCTCTCTGAAAAAAACAATTAGTTTTAGTTTGGATCTCTCCTCTGCCTTCCTGCTCGTGGGTGGAGAACGATTCACCCTGGTGCTGTGAGGGCATCCATTCCAGATGGAGTGGGCACTGCCTCTGGACAAAAGCTCATCCATCCCCCTTCACTCATCAGGAGTGAAGCTCAGAGGGCAGCTTTGGAAGTGGTGACAAGAGTGGCTCAACAGAGAGCCTCCACTTTTCACCAAGTGAGTTGCTTTGGCTTGTGTCTAGCTTGAGAAATCAGAATACTAACCCCAGGGCTTGGTTGGTAAAGGATTTGTTGCTCTTTTTGGAAACTGTTGTGATTACATTGCACCATTTCTGAGTCTACATCAAGTATCCAGGGCATGATCCAAGACTAGGGTAAGGCCTTTGCCAAAAAGTATAGACTCACTCTTTCCAGCTGAGTCATACCAGCAGATAAAGCTTTTAAAAAAAATTAAATAATAGTGGCAAGGCTAAAAAAAACCCTAGAGAAGTTAATCCCTGCTGCAAATAGGTCTTAAAGTTTGAGCAGTTATGGTTCTTGGGTTTACGACAGAGGGTTGGCATCTGGGAAGCTGGTCTGCTGTTGCTTTTCTTAGCTGAACTCTTCAAACTTGTCACTTGATAGTTCTTCCCCTCTCTTTTTGTCCCAGTGCTTTAGATGTTGTGTATTTTTCAGCAGCTGTTTTGGGTGCTGTATGATATTTGAGTTGGTTTTGAGCACACGCTGGCAGTGTGAGGCACTGCCCGCACACATCAGTTAGTATTTGTGACAGGGTTTTTGATTAAAACAATTTAAAGCGGACAGGTGAGCATTGTAGGTAAGAAACACATGCCTGAGGCTTCCTCTTCAGTTTATGTGCACTGGATAACTTGAGAGACTTTTATCTAACCAGTGTGGCTTTTCATCACAAGCAGAGACTTCAGCTTTTGGGAAAGGGGGAGGATGATACCAGCACGCCCCAATAAAAAGGTTACTCAGTGTTTTATTGCAGACCTTTCAGCTCTCAGTCTGGGAGACTCTTTCTGTAGCATCTGC